CTTCTCTGAGCCCCTGGGGGTGTCCCTTCTCTAGATGTCCCTCAGCTATGTCACATCAAGGTGGTGCTGTTTCTTTACCAATCCATCTTCCCTCCGAACCATGCCGTGCCCTATTAAACCACCAGCTAACAGGTTTTTTGTTCGTTTTCGAGACCGAGTCTCGCTCCATCACCCAGGCTAGAGTGCAGTGGTGCAATCTTGGCTCACTGCAACCTCCTCCTCCTGGGTTCAATAGATTCTCCTGCCTCAGCCTCCCGAGTAGCTGGGATTGAGGTACCTGCCACCACACCCGGCTAATTTTTGTATTTTTAGTAGATACGTGGTTTCACCATGTTGGCCAGGCTGATCTCGAACTCCTGACCTCAGGTGATCCAACTGCCCTGGCCTCCCAAAGTCTGCGATTACAGGCATGAGCCACTGTGCCTGGCCACCTAATGGTTTATCTTTGTTTCCACAGTGTTTAGCACATGGCAGCCTCCAGGGTGTGTCCCTGACAACCCCAGTCCCTTCTCTGAACCCTTGTGATATACATTCCCCTAGTAAGCTCTTCATAAGCATGTGGCACAAGAGATTGTTGGAGTTTGTTTCTTTTTTTTTTTTTTTTTTTTTTTTTGAGACAGGGTCTCACTCTGTCACCTAACCTGGAGTGCAGTGGTGTGATCTCAGCTCACTTCAGCTTCGACTTCCTAGGCTCAAGCGATCTTCCCCCCTCAGCCTCCTGAGTAGCTGGGACCACAGGCATGCGCCATCACACCCAGCTAATTTTTTTTTGTTTTTTTTGAGACGGAGTCTTGCTCTATCCCCTAGGCTGGAGTGCAGTGGCGCCATCTCTGCTCACTGCAACCTCCGCCTCCCAGGTTCAAGCAATTCTTCCGCCTCAGCCTCCCAAGTAGCTGGGATTATAGGCATGTGCCACCATGCCCAGTTACTTTTTGTATTGTTAGTAGAGACAGGGTTTCACCATGTTGGTCAGGCTGGTCTTGAACTCCTGACTTCGTGATCTACCCACCTTGGCCTCCCAAAGTGCTCGGATTACAGGCATGAGCCACCGTGCCTAGCCAACACACCCCACTAATTTTTAATTTCTTTTTTTTTTTTTTTTTTTTGAGACAGAGTCTCGCTCTGCCGCCCAGGCTGGAGTGCAGTGGCCGGATCTCAGCTCACTGCAAGCTCCGCCTCCTGGGTTTACGCCATTCTCCTGCCTCAGCCTCCCGAGTAGCTGGGACTACAGGCGCCCGCCACGTCGCCCGGCTATTTTTTTTTTTTGTATTTTTAGTAGAGACGGGGTTTCACCGTGTTAGCCAGGATGGTCTCGATTTCCTGACCTCGTGATCTGCCCGTCTCGGCCTCCCAAAGTGCTGGAATTATAGGCTTGAGCCACCGTGCCTGGCCTTAATTTCTTTTGTAGAGATGGGGTCTCACTATATTGCCTAGGCTGGTCTCAAACCCCTGGGCTCAAGCGATCCTCCTGCCTTGGCTTCCCAACATGCCGGGATTACAGGTGTGAGCCACTGTGCCTGGCCCCAAGCATTTTATATTAGCTTATTTAGACTTCACAGCAATCCCATAAAGTAACTACTACTGAATTTCATTGAATTTATCATGAATTGTAATATATCATCAATTGTAATATATACCATTATTTTATTTAATTTTTTAATATTATATTTATTTATTTATTTATTTTTGAGACGGAATCTCGCTCTATTGCCCAGGCTGGAGTACAGTGGCATAATCTCAGCTCACTGCAACCTCTGCCTCTCAGGTTCAAGCGATTCCTCTGCTGCAGCCTCCTGAGTAGCTGGGATTACAGGCACCTGCTACCACGCCTGGCTAATTTTTGTATTTTTAGGAGAGATGGAGGTTTATCATGTTTTTCAGCTGGTCTTGAATTCCTGACCTCAAGTAATCCACCTGCCTTGGCCTCCCAAAGTGCTGGTTTTACAGGTGTGAGCCACCGTGCCCTGCCGATATACCATTATTTTATATACTAAGAAAAAATACTATCCATTAAGCCATGGCACACCTTCAGTTTAAGATGCATTCTGACTTCAGAGATGTTCAAATGTAAACAGATTTAAAACGTTATATAGAGTCAATAAAATACATTTACTGTATTTAAAAGATGAGGCGGCCAGGTGCGGTGGCTCACACCTGTAATCCCAGCACTTTGGGAGGCTGAGGTGGGCGGATCACCTGAGGTCAGGAGTTCGAGACCATGCCAGCTAACATAGTAAAACCCCGTCTCTACTAAAAACATAAAAAATTAGCCCAGCGCGGTGCTGGGAGACTGTAGTCCCAGCTACTCTGGAGGCTGAGGCAGGAGAATCGCTTGAACCCGGGATGCAGAGGTTGCAGTGAGTGGAGATCGCGCCACTGCACTCAAGACTGGGCGACAGAGTGAGACTCCATCTCAAAAAATAAATAGATAAAATATGAGAAAACAGGCACAGAGAGGTTAAATAACTTGCCCATGATCCAGTAAGAGACAAAGCCAGGATTTGACTGAAACCAGGTAGCCCAACTCCAAAGGCCAAATTCTTGATCATCATTTGATGCAGGGCTGGGGGTTGTGAGCAGTGTGGAAGTTTTCAGGGAGGCCAGCGTGGCCGCTGAGGGTAAAGTGCATTCCACGGGAGCAGGCAGTCTGGTGGCGCCTCTGGGAGACTGGGGTCCACTGTGAGAGGGTTCTGGGTGGGCTGGGGCTATGGAAGGATGGGACAGACAGGATAGAGATCCTTGAAAACTAGGCAGGACTGACCACGCATGGTGGCTCATGCCTGTAATCCCAGCACTTTGGGAGGCCAAGGCAGGCGGATCACTCGAGGTCAGGAGTTCCTGACCAGCCTGGCCAACATGGTAAAACCCCGTCTCCATTAAAAGTACTAAAAAAATTACCCAGGCATGTGGCTCATGCCTATAATCCCAGCACTTTGGGAGGCTGAGGCAGGAGGATCACCTGAGGTCAGGAGTTTGAGACCAGCCTGGCCAACATGGCGAAACCACATCTCTACTAAAATACAAAAGTTAGCGGGGCGTGGTGGTGCATGCCTGTAATCCCAGTTACTCAGAAGGCTGAGGCAGGAGAATCGATTGAACCCAGGAGGCAGAGGTTGCAGTGAGCTGAGATCGAACCACTGCACTCCAGCCTGAGCAACGGAGTGAGACTCTGTCTCAAAATAATGATAATAATAATAATAATAATTTGTGAAAAAAATATATTGGAAAAAAGGGAGAGATACGGCCACGTGTAGTGGCTCACGCCTTAATCCCAGCACTTTAGGAGGCTGAGGTGGGTGGATCACCTGAGGTCAGGAGTTCGCCACCAGGCTGGTCAACATGGTGAAACCCTGTCTCTACTAAAAATACAAAAATTAGCCGGGCGTGGTGGCAGGCACCTGTAATCCCAGCTACTTGTGAGGCTGAGGCAGGAGAATCGTTTGAACCTGGGAGGTGGAGGTGGCAGTGAGCCAAGATCGCGCTATTGCATTCCAGCCTGGGCAACAAGAGCGAAATTCCGTCTCAAAAAAAAAAAAAAAAAGAGAGAGAGGTACTACTGTGGAAGGGGTAGGAGTTCTTCTTCCTATCCTTAGGGCCTTTCTGGGCACCCCGGAACAATGATTCTAACCCTAGCTGTGTGTTACACTAACCAAGGCCCCATATAGGACCATTTATTCCAGAATCTCTGGAGATGGGGCCAAAGCACAGCAAGTTTTAAGGCTGCCCAGGTGGCTCTGATACGCAGCTGGCTGAGAACGCTTACCCTGGAGCCTCGAGGTATCCAGTTTGAAAACCCCTGGGCTGGGATCCCTGCCAGGCCTAGGCACTCAGACTGTGCCTTGTGGTTGGCAACAGACCTCTCTTCTCATGTTCCATGTCCCATGTCCCACTCCCAAACCAAAAACTGATAGGCAAGGGACCAAACACCAGGGTTTCTCAACCATGCTCTGACATTTTGTGTCTTTCTTTTCTTTCTTTCCTTTCTTTCTTCTTCTTCTTCTTCTTTTTTTTTTTTTTTTTTTTTTTTTGGTCTCCTGTCTCCCTTTCCTGGTAAACACTGACATTTTGGACGGGATCATTCTTTGCTGTGGGGACTTTCCTGTGCATTGCGGGATGGTTAGCAGCATCTCTAGTCTCTACCCACCAGAGACCAGTAGTTCATCCCCCCAGTTAAAACAATCCAAAACGACTCCAGATGTTGCAAAATGCCTACTGGGGTGCAAAATCACCCCCATCTGAGAACCACTGTGCTACTCTGAGAGTCTCCCATCCTTCCTCTGCCCTCCCCAGTTGCAGACAGAGGCTAGGCAAAGGCAGAGGCCACGAACAGCAAGTTTAGTTAGGCGGCAGGACGGAGGCCTCTGAGGGAGGCCAGGGTTTGAAACTGTTAACACGATGGAGGGAGGGCATGCCCGCGAACCCACCGATGTGATCTCACTCTAGCGGGGTGAGTTTTCCAGAACACGCATTCCCGGATTCCTAATCAGTCATAGGAGGGCCTGGAATAGCTTCTGGGGCAGATGCCCCCGCTTTCCCGGAACAGGCAGAAGGGGGTGTGGGTGTGGTGGGAGTGGCGTAGGGGATTCTTTCCTTCTGTAGATATTTTCCTGGCATTGTTGACAGCTGTGTGATTGGTTGAGGGCTGGAGGGGAGGAACTTTCCAGCTGTGGGTGCCTGGGTTCCTGGGAAGCCGTCTGACACTGGGATTGTGGGGGGTCTGGGTTTTTGGGGATTTTCTTGTTTTTCATTATCTCACCAACCAGAGGCAGGGATGTCTGGGTTTTAGGGTCTGGAGACTGTTTTTGGAGCTGGGACTAAGGGGCTGGCTGGTTCCCCTCCAAGGGATGTAGAAGTTGTGAGTGCATACTCCTTACAGCTGGAGGCTGGGAGGCTTTCAGCGTCTTCACAAGCCACTTTTTGCTTGGAGGTGGTGGGACCTGAGGGAAGACGGAGGATGGGAAGCTTACGGGAGGGGCCTGGGAGGGACAGAGGGAGGGAGGGTGGGCGGTGGAAGGCACTGGGTAGAGTAGGATTCCTGTCCTTATCCCAAAACTCACTCCACCAGGAGACTCAGAACACCCAGAAGCAGGACAGCTCCAAAGACGGAGAGGAGCAGAATCTTGGCTTCCCAAAGATCCTGACTTCCTGCAGGGAACCCAGGAGGCAGTGAATGATTCTGGAACGCACACTCACCGATGGGGGAGCCCAAGGGCTCAGGGATCTGGGCAAGGTGGGGCGGGGCCAGGGTGGGCGTGAGGACCTGGGAAGCAGCGCTTTCGGGGCCAGCAGGACACCTCCATCCCCTTGCAGGTGGAGCAGTTGTACAGCGTGGTGCTGCCCCCTGCAGGAGACAGCAGAGGCAACGCTGGGGAGGGAAGGCCGGGCCTCCACCCTGCCTGGTACCCAGCTTCTTCCTGCAGCTGCCAGGCCCTCTTCTGACACCCTGCAGGCCCCAGGTCCTTACTACCCCTTTCCTTTCCTACTCACGGCAGGCAGGGGGACAGAGAGCTGAAATGAAAGACAAGGAAGGGGTGAGGGTGTGTGTGGATGAGCTGCTCACCACACATCCCTTTGGCTAAGACGCTAGGCTCCCCTTGAGGCGCATCCCGCGTCGGTACCTTCCCTGGTGTACTCGGGGAGCTTGATCTTTCGAAGCCAACTCCAATATGAAGGGAGTGAGGAGAGAGCCTCTTTGATCTCTGGGGAGGCAGAGAGCAGCTCTGTTGCCCTGGGCCTCGACGGGGCCAGTGCCCCTCCCTTCACCCAGCCCCCTCCCTGATCAGCCCTCCTGTCTCTGCCCCTCCACCCTGCCCCTCCCACCCCAGCCCCTGTCACCCACCCCTCTCCTTGGTGTCCTCCCAACCCCTAGGTCACTCTTTCCCCTTGACCTCACCCATGACCTTCAGGACTCTGTGAGTCTTCTCTGTGACTTTGTTCATGGACACCTCATCTGTGGAGATGGGCAAGGACCAGCGACTCCCTCACCAACTCAGGTTCTGGGGTCTCTCCTGACTTTCCCGGATATGGAACTCTCTCAGAGAGAGAGGCCAGCATGTCCAGAAAGGGCCACAGATGGAGGGCACAGCTGGGAGGTCACACACCACCCTCTGGGGGTATGGGGGTGAGTGCTTGCCGGACCCATCCCTGGATGTCTGATCCTACCTAAGGCAAAGGCCGAGAAGTCCGGGGAGGCCCCACATTCCTTCTGCCCGGCCTCCATCTGGCTGCAGAGCCGAGCCAGGCGGCCTGACAAGTCGTGGGCTGGGAGGCGGCAGAAGACACAAGCCTGGGCGGCTGCCAGGAAAACCCCGCCTAGTGCCAGCCTCCACATGAGGACCACTGGGGGATGGGGCAGGGCTGCCCCAGCTGGGCCGAGGAATGCTCTGCAGCCCTGGCTCTAGCCCTTGCCTGGAGGTTCTAGAGTGTTCCAGAACAATGGCACTGCCCATCCTCAGCTAGGGTAAAGCTGGGGCTCAAGGAACTGGGGTCCAGAAGACATCTCCAGCAGGCGATGGGCAGAGAAAGCAGGGCTTCTGTTGTGAGGGGACAGCACCCCCAACCTGGCCCTCAACAGCCTTCACAAATTTGTGGTTCCAAAAGCAGTTTTATTTTTCTTCTCGTAAATCATGACCAGTGAGAAATAATGCGTGCCCCCCCAGTGAAGAAGCTGTGCATGAGTATCCCAACTGCTCTGGGACCCAGAAATCCCATCCTTTCCCATCTCCTCCCCCACTGTCCCAAACTCTTCATCTCCTCTCTCTGCCCAGGGCAGCCTTGGGCCTTCCCCAGCTATCTCCTAGCAACAGGCCCATGGTTGCCTCAGCAACCAAGAGTTCCATACAGGCCTCAGAGGCCCAGCTAAGCCCAGTGACTTCTCTTACCTCTCACCGGGAAGATCCCAGTGACTCAAACCCCAACAGGCCCCTCCTGGCTATGTGGTGATGCATATATATGCGTGCACATAAACACACACACACACCCTTTGATTAAACTACTAATTGTCAGCCACCTCACAGGTATACCACAGACACACCCTGTGCCAGAAGAGTCGACTAGGCAACCCCAAACAGGCCTGGACATGCAGACATCACAGACACTGTAGTCAGCAACACAGATAGGAACCAGGATGCCATAGACCTATGCATCACTCAGACATACGGGCTGATATGCACGCACACATGAGGGAAGGCCAGGACCCAACAAATACTGCCCTCTTCCCCCTGGCCAGCCCTGCCATCAACATAGGATTCTTCCAGATGAGGGATGCTCCAGCCCCATTGCCGTGGGGACTCTCCTAGCTCCCGTGCATCAACCTAGGGTGGGTTGTGGCCTTTCCACCTCCCTCAGTAGATGGCTTGGAACACAGCAAAGAATTCCTCTTCCCATGTTCCAGAGTGCTCTGGCCTCTCATTGGTCAGGCCAGGCCAGGCCACCCAGCTTCAGGAGGAGAAGCCATGGTCCCAGAGACCGCACTGGGAAAATGCAAAGTCCTCCCTTTTCCCCAGACCTCAATATCCTTCCAGGGTTTTGCCAGGTCTGGTCTGGGTAAAGAGATGTTCCCCCCTTTTCCAGGCCCTTAACCACTGAGATCCAGATCAAGGAGAGACTGGAGGTCCCCAGCCTTAGGTGAGAACAAGCCAAGAGAACCTTCCCTACCCCTCCCAGGGTCAGCACAGGTCGAGACCTTCTGGATCCTTTGTGAGTCCTTGCTGGGCCAGGTTTGGGAATTCCTGCCCACATCTGAGCTCCAGTCAGGTGCAGGAGGACCCCGACTCTCATAGCTCCTGAAGCAGAGCTGGAAAGAGGCTTCAGGGGTGCCAGTACCCCATTCTCTCTCCTCCCCAGAGTCAAACTGAGAAGAGTCCTCAGTGCCGGACAAAGCGCAGAGACCGGGAGTTGAGCAGGTCTTCGGGGTCGGGGAAGACAGAATCTAGGCGGAAGCCGTGCTCGAGAGCCACCCGCAGCACCTCCTCCAGGAAGCTTGGCGTGCCCACCACCTCCCGCCGCGCTCCTGGCCCCCCAGTCCACAGCGGCTGCAGCCCCAGTCTCCCATACTCCACCTCGGGGAGTTCCACAGGGCGTGGGGCCCACTCCAGATGAAAATGTGGGCTCCCATCTGCCCTATCCCCACTGGCCACACCAAATCGGGCCCGCAAAGCACCTAGACACTCCGGGTCGGTGCAGAAGAGGTTGGCTCGGAAGGTGTCCACCTGGGCGGAGCTCAGCTCATAGTGATGGGGTCCCCGGCGAGCAGAGAAGTGCACCAGGCGGGGGCTGGCATCGACATCTGCGTGGAGCAGGGCAGCTGTGGGTGCGGGGGTCCCCCGAGAGGCCTCCAGTTCCCGCAGCGCGTCCAGGAGGGGCCGGATCTGGTAGAAGTCAGCCTCTGCCCTGAGCAGCGCTGTCTCTCCGTACCCGCGGGGGAGGTCCAGGCGGCCCAGCCTCAGGAAATTGAGGATGTGCCGGAAGGCCTTGCCATCCCGGTCGATGAAGTAGTGGCCGCCTCCTTGCGGATTGAGGTTAGGAGGCATGGGGGTGCCGGCCCTAAACATGGCCCCCAGCATGGAGTCTGGGAAGCGGGTCAGGGTCTCCAAAGTGGTGGAATATAGCGTGCCCCCCACATTCAGGGTCACGGGGCCCCCAAAGGAGGGGGGCGAAGAGGGCACAGGAGGAGGAGAAATTTTGGGAAGCACAGGAGACACCGAAAGAAAAGAAAAGGCACAACTTCCTGGGTGTGTGCAGAATTGGGTCGAAGCTGTCAGATTCGCTGGGTTGGAGGCACAGGTGGAGCACACGCAGTAAGGTTTGGGGCTCACCCCAGCTACTTTGGTAGTGGATGGGGAGGTCGTCTCAGGACACAGAAATCCCCAAAGGGTTGAGAGAAGAGATTGAAAGAGCAGAGGGCAGCCAGAGAGGGGAAGGGAGCTTGAGGTTTGGACGTATCCGATTTGAGGTGGTCAGCGACACCCCTCTGTGATCTTCAGACAGTGGGTTTCCGGAATCCAACCAGCAGATGACGGTGGCGAGCACAGGGCCGACTCCGAAGAGCTGGCTTCCGAGACCCCGGGCAGATCGCTGCCGCCGTGGACGAGTTCCCCAGGGCTCTGGGGCCACTCAGAGGCCTGGCTGCCGGCGCGGGTCCCAGGAGATGGATAGGGAACTGACGGGAGCTGATGGCGGAGCCCCCTTATATCCGCCGGGGAGCGACGATGCGTGTGCTCAGCCCGGGCTGGGAGTGTCCGAGGGCTCTGATGGAAACAGCCAGGAGTCTCGGGACCCGGCCGCGCCGCCTTTCCTGGGTGTCGCCGCAGCCGCTGAGGCCCTCTCCGCCCCCAGGAAGTGGCCTAAGGGCAGCGGCCCGGGGCCCTTTAAGAGACAGCCCCGCCCCTTGGCGCCCCGCCCCCGCCCCCGGGAGGCTCGCGCTGCTCTGGCGGAGGCGGGAGGCTGGAGGCGAGTCTCGGACGCGAGAGACTGGGCGGACTGGCTGGACTGGCAGACGCTGGCGGGACGGGGTGACTCAGGCACGTCGCCCCGGATGTGGCCGCGACCTCCCCGCCGCCCCTACAGGTGTGCTCGACCTCACGTCTGCAACTCGGCGGGGCTGGAGCCTCTAGCCCCACCGCTCAGAGCCCGAGGCCCGGCCGGCCCGGCCCGGGAGCAGCGTCCCTCCCAGCGGCTCCCCCGGGGAATTCCCGAGGGGGCGGGTGCTGAGCCGCCGCATTCCGGGGATGCCTTCCAGCCGGGGTGGCCCGAGCGCGCTCTCTCCGCGGCGGCGGCGGGGCCAGAGAGCCCCAGGGCCGGCCCCACCCCTCGGCAGGACTGGGCTGGCCACGTCGCCCCAGCCCAAGAGCCCCCACCCCGCAACGCCTGGCGCTCGGGTCGCGGCCGAAGCTGCCGCCTCGCTCCCTGGAGTCGTCCCTTGCTGGACTCGAGGTCGCAAACCGCCAGCCGCTCCCCGCACCCCGGGAGCCTCAGCACCCAACACCCTACGGGTCCAAAGGTGGCGCCCAAGAAGTGAACCAGAAGGGAAGAGGGAAGCACGGAAGCTTTAATGGCAGAGGGCCCGGTGACGGGGAGGGGAGGGAGGCGCAGACCCTTAGGGCCTGGGGTCACAGCGTGTGGAGGTCGTGGCTGCGCCGGCTCAGCTTCTCCGGGTCGTCTGACGCCATGAGGGAGAAGTCGCGGAAGATGTCAATATACGTCTCATCTCCTAGGGGAGGGAGGAAAGGCCGGGAGGCGGCTGGGCCCCAGTGCAGAAGGGCAGGATCCCGCGTTTGGGGCCCGCCTGGGGACCTCGAGCTCCGAGCCTGGATGGGAACGTGCGCGCCGCGAGCACCGCGCCAGCGCCCATGCCTTGCCAGGGCCTGGCACGTCGCATGCGTCCAATACGCGTTTGTTAAATAACGGAATGAATGCATTTGGGCACTAGGGAGAGAGGTCACCGTGGACCAGAAGCCCAGAGTTCAGGTGTTGGGCCTAGGGGGTGGGGTGGGTGTATTCTTTACCTGCCTGCCCCTGGGCCGCTTCAGCTTCCCTCATCTTTGCCAGTCGTAGCCTGAAGGGAAGGGAATTAAGACATGAACGACACTATCCTTGGCCGGGCGGGGTGGCTCACGCCTGTAATCCCAACACTTTGGGAGGCCGAGGCAGGTGGATCACGAAGTCAGGAGGTCAAGACCGTCCTGGCCAACATGGTGAAACCCTGTCTCTACTAAAAATACAAAAAATTAGCCGGGTGTGGTGGCGGGGGCCTGTAGTCCCAGCTACTCGGGAGGCTGAGGCAGGAGAATCCGCTTGAACCCGGGAGGCGGAGGTTGCAGTGAGCCGAGATCGCAACACTGCACTCTAACGTGGGCGACAGAGTGCGACTCCGTCTCAAAAAAAAGTCGTCTCAAAAAAAAAAAAAAAACGACACTATCCTCACCTCCCCCGCCAACTTCCCGTCCTTTGAGCTGGGTTGCGTTCGTTCATCTGCCCACCCGGGGTCACATCTAGTGCTAAAAAGATGCCTGACGGCCATGTTGATGGGCGAATGACACCTCTCAGGGTGGGCCAAGCATCCTCGCACCCTGGCCGCCCTCCCGCCTGCCTTCTACTCCACGCCCCAATGCACACTTGGCGCAGCCTTTCTTGAGCCTGGCCCAGGCGCTGGCCCAGCCCTTCCCCAGGCCCCACCGGCAGGCTCCTGTTTCTGCATCAGCCCCGCCCGCCCGAAAGTGGGCGGGGGGTGGTGGTGGGGCTCCAGCGCCAGCCAGCCCCTCCCCTTCAGGCATTCATTCTCACAGGGTGACGATGTCAGCGTTGGCTGTTTCCATGGCGATGGTCAGAGGGTCCCTGCCTTCAGAGTCTCGAGCCCCCAGATCAGCCCCCCGTTTCAGGAACAGGCAGGCGAGCCTGGAGAGAAGAGCCAGGGTCAGCCGGCCACCCAACTCCTCCCAGCCTTCCTCCCCATGGCTGTCATCCCTACCCTGTGTGGCCAAGAATGGTTGCGTGGTGCAGCGGGCCCCGGCCCGTACTGTCTGCTTGGTTCACATTCGCCCCGTTCTGGAGGAGAAACTCACAGGCCAGAAGAGAATTCTGCATGGAGAAATCGAGAAGGGGGGTTGAGGGTGGCATCCCTAGTGGTGGATTTCAAGATGTCTTAGGATGGCGCCAGTTCAGAGAATGGGAGGGTGGGGTGTGTTAATCAGGAGTGTAGAAGGGGTTACAGCTAACTCAGTCTTGACTCTAGCTCTTTGCATGTATTCACATATAAATCTGTGGTACAAGCTTATGAGGTATGTTACTATTTTACAGATGAGACTGAGATTGTTAAAAGTCTCCTGTAAGGGGTGAGAGCCTGGGTTCAAACTCAGGTTCTCTGCCTCCAAATCACACACTCTTAGCAGCCAGTCTCTGTTGCTGGTGTCTCTCTATGGGTGGAGGCCCTAGGGAACAGGTGGTGGGAAGAGGAGGTAAGGGCAGGGCCTAGAGTCAGGAGTAGGTGTCAGAGCCCTAGGGTGGGGTGGGGAGGTCGCCAGGGCTCTCACAGCAGCTGTGGCCTGGATCAGCGGCGTGGCATTCTCTTGGCCCCCATTGACCCAGTTGACATCAGCTCCATGGGCAAGGGCATCGGCCATGGTGGGAAGAGATGGAGGATGCCCAGACGCTCGAAACAGCAAGGCCCCGGGGTGCAGGCTTCCCAGGTCCTCAGAGGGGGGCTCTGTTTGGGGGATTTGGTTCTTTTAGGGGGAGCAGCTCCGAGTCCGGGAAGAAAACCCTCAGCACAGTGCCCCGATGCTATAACGGGACATGTCTCTTCTAAATGGTGGGGAGCTTGGGACTGTGGAGGGAATAGTGTGCAGGCGTGGGTATGTGTAAGTGTGAGTATGCATGTGTACGAGTTCCCTAGGGTGTGGGGGAGAGACGGCATCACCACCTCATCCAGTCCAACCACCCCAACTGCTGGGATGACACAGGTGAGCTGACTGCCTGACACTCGGCCTCAGCTCTCAACCCCTGCTGCTCCAGCCAAACCCACCCCCCCGCTTTTCTCATGCTGCTGGCACCCCTTAACCTCCCTGCCCACACCCAGCCCCACATTCCTTCCCATTCTTCATGTCACACTCCACTGTAACCCCTGAAACGGCAGTCCGGTCCCTCCGACGTTCTCCAGGGGAGGACCTGGGCTTCACAGTCTGTGCCTCCCTGCGGGACCCAGCACGGTGCCAAGTACACAGCAGGTGCTCAGTGAATGCCCAACCAACCCTATACCTGGCTTGGATCTCAAGCTCCCTGGCCGGGGCCTGATGGAAGGCTTTGGGGGCACAGGAGGCTGCCCCCTTGGGGGCCCCCGGCCACCTCTTCGCCCTCGAATCTCAGGCAGCTTGGTCAGGAACTTCTTCTCCACATATTTAGCATGAATCCAGGCCTCCTTCTCCTGCCTGTGGGAGGGGAGAAGCACGCAGTCTTCCCTCCTCTTGCTCCAGGTATCCCCCATTCCCCTGGGAGGCTAAACCCCAAGCTTACCGGGAGCAGCTGGGCCCTGGTTTCTTCACTGCCATGGCCTCCACACGGGCCTCATAGATCTGGTTGATGACGACATTTCCCAGCTCGCACATGAGCTTCGGGAGGCCCAGGCAGAGGCAGGGACAGGTAAGGTGGGGGTGAGTGATTCCTCAGGGGTCACGCCCCTGCACCCCCATGTCCTTGCCCTGCCCCAAGTTCTTGCCCCCAATCTTCACAATACCCCAAGTTACCTTCACTAGTTCTGGCTCCCATGAGTCAAGGGTCAGAGACCGGACTTTGGAGAAGTGAACACCAAGGCTCCTGGAGGGCCAGAGGGGAGGGTCAGGCCCCGTGTGGGGCAGTGGCCTGGGCAGCTGCTGCTGCTCCTGAAGACACTGGGAGGCAAGGCTGGCATAGGGGCCCATGCGGAGATGCTGGCCCAGGAAGCAGGGCAGCTGCGGCCATGTATCCGCCATGTAGCCTTGACCTGGCCCTGGCAGGACCCTGCCTCGTCACTGATTCCTTCTTCCTTAGGTTTCGTTTCAAGGCTCCAGCCACCTCCCTTCTCTAGTGACATTTTGGCCTGGACAACCTCTCCCATGTCACCTCTCTTCCACCACACTGAGGCAGGGGGCAAGGGCCTTAGACACTTGCTAAGGCCTCATGACTGTTTCTCTGCCTAGTCTTCATTGGCTCCCCCACCCTCAGCAGCCTTGACCCCACACTTCTTCCAACCAAGCCAACAAATTCTGGGTATCCCCCAATTCTGGCCAGACTAGAACACAGAGGGGCCAGGCCCACCTGGGTCCAACTGGCACCCCACAGGCTTGGGCCCAGGCCTGGTACCCAGTGACAAAGCCAGAAGCTAAGAGAGGAAGCCAGGATAGGGAAGGAAAAGGGGCTGGTGTGATGAGCTCTCTATTGGAGCTGCACTGTGGCCTGAAGGAGTGGGGCTCCCGCCTGGGCCTCATGGAGTAACCTGTGGATGCCGGAACACTGAATGCAGAGGGTGACACCAAGGTTGATGCTGGCCCACTCTGGGGCTGGCTCCCGGCAGTCGCAGCACTGGGCATTGCCATCCACACTCTGGACCTGTGCCACCACGTGCCCGGCTCCCCCAGGCTCCCTTCCCCTGGCCATTCCACCGCAGCCCAGGGTGGCAGCAGAGCCTATGGCCAGGTGTCCCGAGCCCTGGAGAAGAGAAGAAAGGGTGGCCTAGGGTAAGGGGTGCCCCATCTCCATGGGCAGCCTGGCTCCGCACCCCCAGGTTAATTTACCTGGCCTGGACCCCGGGGGCTGTCATCAAGGCGAGCCTGACTGAAGGCAGAAACGATGCTGCTCTGCACAGCACTGACCCACAGCTGCAGGAGGCGCTCTGAGTCAGCCTGGAGGAGGCAGGACCTAGGTAGGAGGGTGAGGGAGATGGCAGAGGGGTCTGAGGCCTGGGAAGCAAAGTGGCAGGATGAGCAGGATTCAGCCAGTGTTCAGCCCGTTCCAGTTGCATTGAAAGACTTCTGTACCAGTTGGTAATAGTCTCCTGAATATCCTCCATCACCCTGTACCCTCTTCCACATTGGCCCCCCAGTACAGCCACCAAAGGATTAAATTAAGGTCTGGAGCTGCATGGGGGGCCCTCCATTGTCGTGGGCCCTGCCTTTCAGATTGGCAACTGTTTAGATATATTAGAGTATCACCCCTGGGGATTGCACTCACTTGCTGGTGGACACCACCTCAAAGCAGAACCGCCTTTCTGAGTCAGGGCAGAGTTTCACTGTGCAAAGACGAAGGTCATCCACCACCACAGTCACAGGGTCCTGGCAGGATAAGGTGATAAGGGGGCAGATGTCCAGCTGCAGGCAAGGGCTGAGTCTCCCTGGGGCCCAGGCATCCAGGACCCAGGCCCACTCACCTTGTACTTCTTCTGGTAAACCAGTTGGTTGCTCTGAATGGTGAACCAGCGTCTGTGAGAGAAGGAAATCATTATAGACATGGGCAGCTTTAGGATGAGGGACGGAAGAGAGGCTGTGCTCTTTGCCCATGAGGATCTTACTGAGAGGAGAGACACCTGGGCTGACTGTTCCACGAGACATTCCAGAGAAGGGTGGACAGTTGTGCAGCCTGGAACATCTAAAGGATGCTATTTAGTCATATCTTGGACAATCCAGATTTCATATAGTTATGAAGACAACTTTCCAGCAGATGGCAGTAAAATTATTTTTCTAATAAAGTGTCTATTGCTACAATTTAAAAAATACTATTTAGGCTGGGCTCACACCTGTAGTCCTAGCACTTTGGGAGGCCGATGAGGGTGGTGGATCACCCAAGGTCAGGAGTTTGAGACCACCCTGACCAATATGGTGGAACTCCGTCTCTACTAAAAATACAAAAATTAGCCGGGCATGGTGGCAGGCGCCTGTAATCCCACCTACTTGGGAGGCTGAGGCAGGAGAATTGCTTGAACCCAGGAAGCGGAGGTTGCAGTGAGCCGAGATCGCACCACTGCACTCCAGGCTGGGCAACAGAGCGAGGCTCTGTCAAAAAGAAAAAAGAAAGAATCTTGGGGGCCAGGTACAGTGGCTCACGCCTGTAATCCCAGCAATTTGGGAGGCCAAGGTGGGCGGATTGCTTGATGTCAGGAGTTTGTGACCAGCCTGGGCAACATGCTGAAACCCTGTCTCTACCAAAAATACAAAAATTAGCCAGGCATGGTGGCACACACCTGTGGTCCCAGCTATTTAGGATGCTGAGGAGGGAGGATCACTTGAACTCAGGGGGCGGAGGTTGCAGTGAGCCAGGACTGCACCACTGCACTCCAGCCTGGGCAACAGAGTGACACCCCATCTCAAAAAACAGAAAAAAAAAAGTATCTTGGGGAAGCGGCTCCATTCTCTAATTTGCACAGAGATCCCATATGGGCTAGCAGTGGCCCTCGAAGGGGAAGGAGTCAAGTCACAGCATGCTGCCATCCTGTTCCAAACCCTATAGTGGCTCCCAATTGCCCTCAGAGTAGACCCCAAATGCCTACAAAAATCTATATGGCCCTATAATGACTCATGCCCCCATTAGCTCCAGTTTCATCTCCTACACATCCTCCTCCCTCACTCTGTCCAGACCCAGGGCCACCACCCTGCTCTTCCAACTCCCCAGCTATCTCAGGGCCTTGGCACTGGCTCTTCCTTCTGTCTAGAACTTTCTTCCCCCAGATATCCTTCAAGTCTTTGTTCAAAAGTTACCTTCTCATGAAGCCCACACTGCCCAGCTATTTAGAACTGCAACCCCTACCCAGCTCCCCACATTCCTTGCTTTATTATCTTTCTCCTATAGCACTATCACTTTCTAACATAGCACATAATTTACCGACTAGGTTTATCGTCTGCCTTTGCTGATGGAATATAAACTCTACTAAGGCAGGGGGGTTCGTCCGTTTTTCCTTGCACTGCTTAGCGTGCTATTACCACTCAAAAATACATAATTGGGTGGGGTAGGCTGATTGGGGTGTCCTCTTCTCACCTGCTCCAGGTCTTAAATGCGTTGCTGGCCCGTTTGAAGAGATGTCCTTCCATCACCAGGCCACTGGGCCCCTCTCTTAAGCTTGGTTCTGGCTCCTCCCCACCCAGCTCCTGGAGGCACAAGAGGATCAAAGGGCAACTGAGATGGGCAGAGACCAAGGCCACAGGCATCTGCCTCCTGCCCACAGCCCTAGCCCTCACTTTTTGCTTGTTGAAATATTTTTTAAAGTTTATTTTTAGAGACAGGGTCTTGTTCTTTCACCCAGGCTTAAGTGCAGTCGTGTGATCATAGCTACTGCAGTCTTGAACTCTTGGGCTCAAGTGATCCTCCCGCCTCAGCCTCCTGAGTAGCTAGGACTACAGGTGCGTGCCACCACACCAGCTAATTTTAAATTTTTCTGTAGAGATGCAGTTTCACTACGATGCCTAGGCTAATCTTGAACTCCAGGCCTCAAGCGATCCTCCCACCTCAGCCTCCCAACATGTTGGGATGACGGTCGTGGGCCACCGCACCTGGCCCCTCACCTTCTGTTTCAGCAGCACGTGTCTCTGCTCCATGTCCCTCTTCTCTCGTGCAGAATTCAAGACCAGCTGGTGCAACTGGGCACAGGAAGGGCATCTCAGATGCCTAAGGCCCCCCAGTTAGGAGTCCCTAAGCTCCCTCCACCACCTGCTGTGCCCTGGGGGCCCCACCTGGGCACCCAGCTCCTTTCGATACTGGGACAGCCGGCTCAGCTCCTCGTGGCCCTGCTGGAAATGGGTAGCTTGGGCTTCCACCAAACGCAGCACCTGGGGGACAAGGTGGGCAGTGGGTGGGCTGAGGAAGAACCCCTCTCCCCTTTCCCTTGTGCTGGTAGCAGGCTTCTCTTCACCCTGCCCTCACCCCCACCACAACTCACAAACTCCATGATGTCAAACTTCCTCTTGTCCTCAATCACATTGATCTGAGGACGTAAAAAGACCCCAGGTTAGTCTTGAAAACACAGCACCCCTTCCCACTGCACAGTGGGGACCCCCCAGCCTCGAGGTGACACCTGAGGCTCTGGTACCCCAGGAAGACAGGTTGGGGCAGGCACCTGCAGGGCATAATCCAGTGCCCGTCCCCGGTAGCCAGCTCGCGCCGTCCTCAAAGCAGCTCCTGCCTCTTCTGCCTCCTGGGCCCGGCGCCTGGGAACCTCCGCGTTGTGGGTCAGGGCAGCCTCCAGGCTCTCAGCCCCCCGCCAGAAATCCCGGCGAGCCTCTCGGAAACCCCGAAGACCTCTGAGGATGGGAAGATGACACAGAATCGCAGCTAACACCCACCTGCCCCAGCAGAGCATTCCCAGGGTAAAGCCCTCATGTCCTTTCAGTTAGTCTCTGCGTGTGGGAAACCCAAGGAGATCCCTGGGATGGAATTCAGGACACCAGAAACCCCCAATCTCACAACTCCACCACTGGGGAGGCCCCTGTGGTCATGGGAAGAGGGCGGCGGGGCTGGTTTCCGAGAAATAAGACCCCTTTCCCTCCCATCTCACTCCGCCTCTTTTTTTTTTGAGACAGGGTCTTTTGCTCTGTTACCCAGGGTGGAGTACAGTGGCACAATCACGGCTCACCGCAGCCTTGACCTCCAGACTCAAGCAATTCTCCTGCTTCAGGCTCCCAAGAAGCTGGGACAACATACATGTGCCACGACGCCCAGCTATTTTTTTTTTTTTTTTTTTTTTTTTGAGTCAGAGTCTCACTGTGTTTCCCAGGCTGGAGTGCAGTAGCATGATCTTGGCTCACTGCAACCTCCACCTCCTTGGTTCAAGTGATTCTCCTGCCTCGGCCTCCTGAGTAGATGGGATTACAGGCACCTGCCACCATGCCCCACTAATTGGTTTTTTCTTTTTTCTTTTTTCTTTTTTTTTTGGTATTTTTTAGTAGAGCTGGGGTTTTGCCATGTTAGACAGGCTGGTCTCAAACTCCCGACCTCAGGCGATTCACCCGCCTTGGCCTTCCAAAGTGCCGGGATCATAGGCATGAGCCACCGCGCCTGGCCTAATTTTTGTATTTTTTGTGGAGACAGAGTGTCGCCATGTTGGCTAGGTTGGTGTCGAACTCCTGGGCTCAAGCAATCCTCCCAAAGTGTTGGGATTACAGGCGTGAGCCACTGCGCCCGGCCCCATCTCACTCTTTGACCAGGGTCTGGATCTGCTGCTGCAGTGTGTGTTGGGTGGCATCTAGAAGCTCCTGAGGGAAGGAGAAGTTCGTAGGTTGGGGTCAGGACCACAGGCGACCTGGCCACCACCCCCGCAATCCCTATCTTCCCCTACTTACCGCATGGCTGTCCAGCTTGTGGTTCAGGCTCACGGTGAATTTTTCCAGACACTCCTAGGCAAACAGAGGCATAGAAAGAGTACCAGGCGTGGGGTGGCAGCGCCCTCCCGACTCGAGACCCAGCCTGCTATGGCTATCTAGGACGACAGCCCAGCCCCGCTCTGGCCTGGAACCTGCAGACCCCAGGCCAACCCTCCTCTTCCACGGCATCACCTCCTCACCCCAGACCCCTTCCCACCCAGATGCAGACCCTCCGTATACCGCCATCATGGGTTCTGGTGGACCCAGGTGGGCCAGGTCACAAATGCCGACAATGAAGGCACGGCTGGCAGCAAGGTAATGGCGCCCACTTTCCAGGAGACCAGTGCCCAGTTTCAGGAGCTGGGAAAGAAGGAGAGTAACAGGGAGCTGTGCAGTCATCCCCACACCAGGTGACACCCCCACACCTGCCCCACTTCCTCTCCCCTTGCCCAGAGCGGCGCTCCCCCATTCCTGTCTGGCCTCACCATCCTCCAGGCTCATCCAGGTCTCCCCGTATCTAACACACACCTGCTGTGTTCTCATCGCTGCCTCTGCTCCCACTGCCTTGGGCCTGAAACCAAATTCCTGCCCATTCCTCTCAACCTGTCGCCAACGCATCTGTCAGCCTTACCTCCAAAACATCTTTCCCTGTCCCCTCGCACACATCTCTTCCTGCCCTGCCTACCTGCTTAGATCCAGAGCTCCCTGGAGATTCCAGCCTCCTGCATGGTCTGGATGCTCTAAGTGGTTGCTATTAAATTCTACAGTATTGGCCGGGCATGGTGGCTCACACTTGTAATCCCAGCCCTTTGTGGGGCCACAGCAGGCCAGTCGCTTGAGCTCAGGAATTCAAGACCAGCCTGGGCAACATGGTGAAACCCCATCTCTACTAAAAATACAAAAATTAGCCAGCCATGGTGGCACGTGCCTGTAATCCCATGTGCCTGTAATCCCAGCTACTTGGGAGGCTAAGGCAGGAGGACTGCTTGAACCCAGGAAGCTGAGGCTGTAGTGAGCCGAGATGGTACCACGTGCCTGTAATCCCAGTTACCTGGGGAGCTAAGGCAGGAGGACTGCCTGAATCCGGGAGGTCAAGGCTGCAGTCAGCTGAGATGGCACCACTGCACTCCAGCCTGGGTGACAGAGCAAGACTCTGTCTCAAAATAAATAAATAAATAAATAAAATCTATAGTATTTACTGCTAGTTGTTGTCCCATTCTGTGCTCACTGCACGTTCCCTCATAAATATTAATCTGTCATCCAGACCACAGGTCAGGACCAAGAGGAAATGCTGGGGTACTCCCGGGGCCCATCCTATCTGGTCCCTTTGACTGACAAACAAAGAGACTTGATAGTCCAGGCGAGGTGGCTCAGACCTGTAATCCCAACACTTTGGAAGGGTGAGGTGGGTGGATTACCTGAGGTCAGGAGTTGGACATCAGCCTGACCAACATAGTGAAACCCCATCTCTTTTTATTTTTCTATTTTTGAGACGGAGTTTCACTCTTGTTACCCAAGCTGGAGTGCAGTGGCGCGATCTCAGCTCACCACAACCTCCGCCTCCTGGGTTCAAGCAATTCTCCTGCCTTGGCCTCCCGAGTAGCTGGGATTACAGGCGCCCGCCACCACACCCGGCTAATCTTTTGTATTTTTAGTAGAGATGTGGTTTCACCATGTTGACCAGGCTGGTCTCCAACTCCTGACTTCAGGTGATCCACCTGCCTTGGCCTCCCAAAGTGCTGGGATTACAGGTGTGAGTCACCGTACCTGGACTAACCAAGATCAAATCTTACCAGATATCACCATGGGTTGTCTGTGACAAGGGACAAGGATGTTCACAAATCACTGTGTGAATCTGAGGACTCTGTCTAGTTTTTTCCTTACTGTCTCAGCCCCTCCCCCTTAGATGAGTAAGAAACTTTCATAAGACTGGACTAGTGACAAACTGGGACATCTGTACAATAGAACAGTACTCAGCAATAAAAAGGAATGAACTGTTGATACATGCAACAACTTGGATAAACTTCAAGAGCATTAATCTTTTAAAAAATTCGTATTATTTTTAGAGTTGGGATCTCTGTCGTCCAGGCTGGAGTGCAGTGGTGGGATCACAGCTCACTGCAGCCTTGAACTCCTGGGTTCAAGGGATCCTCCAACCTTAGCTTCCTGAGTAGCTGAGACTACAGGCACACATCACCACACCTGGCTAATTTAAAAACAAAGCAAAGCATTTTTTAGAGACAAGGATCTTGCTATGTTGCCCAGGCTGGTCTCAAGCTTCTGGCCTCAAACAACCCTCCTACCTTGACCTCCTGAGGAGTTGGGATGACAGGCATGAGCCACCACACCCGGCAGGAGCATTATTCTGAGTGGGGGAAAAAAACCAAATCTCAAAGGGTCACATACTGTATCATTCTATTTATGGAACATTCTGGAAATGACAAAAGTAGAGAGATGGAGAACAAATCAGTGGTTGCTACAGATTAAAGCAATGTGGGAAGGGTATCGGGTATCACTGTAAAGGAATTCTTTGTGTCCATTTGTATGTGGTGATGGTTAAAGGAATCCATACACGAGATAAAGTGCCGTAGAATTATACACAAAAACGCAAAAAAAGAGCATATGCAAAATGTAAAATCGAAGTAGGATCTATAGAGTTTATTTATTTATTTAAAGACAGAGTCTTGCTCTATCGCCCAGGCTGGAGTGCAGTGGCGCGATCTCGGCTCACGGCAACCTCCACCTCCTGGGTTCAAGCAATTCTCCTGCCTCAGCCTCCTAAATTGCTGGGATTACAAGTGCGTGCTACCACACCCAGCTAATTTTTGTATTTTTAGTAGAGACGGGATTTCACCATGTTGGTCAGGCTGGTCTGGAACTCCTGACCTCGTGATCCACCTGCCTCAGCCTCCCAAAGTGCTGGGATTACAGGCGTGAGCCACTGCGCTTGGCTAGAGTTTACTGGGTTTTTTTGTTTGTTTTTGTTTTTTGAGACGTAGTCTCACTCTGTAGCCCAGGTTGGAGTGTACGATCTCAGCTCACTGCAAGCTCCGCCTCCCGGGTTCATGCCATTCTCCCACTTCAGCCTCCCGAGTAGCTGGGACTACAGGTGCCCACCACCACACCTGGATTATTTTTTGTATTTATAGTAGAGACGGGATTTCACGGCGTTAGCCAGGATAGTCTCGATCTCCTGACCTCGTGATCCGCCTGCCTCAGCCTCCCAAAGTGCTGGGATTACAGGCATGAGCCACCGCGCCTGGCAGAGTTTATTGTTAATTGTAATGTGACAATATTAATTTCCTGGTTTTAATAATGTACTAAAGATGTCACCAATGGGGAAACTGGGTGATGAGTACATGAGACCTCTCCTTACTAGTCTCCTGAGTCGATGATTTACTCAAAATAAAAAATTCAGGCCAGGTGTGGTGGCTCACACGTGTAATTCTAGCACTTTGGGAGGCTGAGGTGGGAGGATTACTTGAGTCCAGGAGTTCCAGACCAGCCTAGGTAACATAGGGAGACTCCATCTCTACAGGAAAATAAAATTTAAAAAAAGCCAGGCATGGTGGCATGTGCCTGTAGCACAGCTACTGGGGAGGTTGAGGAGGGAGGATCACTTGAGCCCAGGAGTTCAAGCATCTGGGACTACAGCTGTGGCCACCCCATCCAGTCCATTGTTTAATATCATTATTTGTAGACTGGGTGTGGTGGCTCATGCCTGTAATCCCAGCACTTTGGGAGGCTGAGACAGGTAGATCATTTGAGGTCAGGAGTTCAAGACCAGCTTAGCCAACATGGTGAGACCCCATCTCTACTAAAAATTAAAAAAGAAAAAAAATTAGCGGGGTGTGGTGGTGCATGCCTGTAATCTCGGCTGCTTGGGAGCCGAGGTAGGAGAATCGCTTGAACCTGGAAGGCGGAGGTTCCAGTGAGCTGAGATCGCACCACTGCACTCCAGCCTGGGTGACAGAGCAAGACTCCGTCTCAAATAAATAAAAATAAAATTATTATTTGTAGAGATGAGGTTTCACCATGTTGTCCATAAAACAATGTTGCCCACCAAATTTGTGACAATTTGGTACACAGCAATAGCGAACTAACACATAGCATGCAAATACATACTGTGTCAGAGGTAAATGTTGCAGAGAAAAGTAAAGCGAAGTAAGGGGAATGAGAGAGCATTTGTGTGTGTATCTGTGTGAACGTGCTGTTTGATAGAGTGCTCAGGGGACACCTTACTGTCTTGAATTGAAACATTTCACTGGTTTGTCTTCCAGTCAGCCTTTGGGTTCCATGGGAGCAGAAATGATCTTGCCCTCCCTGAATGCCCAGGGCCTGGCACAATGCAGGAGGAGCTCAAAAGCTGAACAAGGAAGTCCAAAAGTAAGTCTTTTTTTTTTTTTAAGACAGAGTCTCGCTCTGTCACCTAGCCTGAAGTGCAGTGGTGCGATCTTGGCTCACTGCAACCTCCGCCTCCCAGGTTCAAGCGATTCCTCTGCCTCAGCCTCCTGAGTAGCTGGAACTACAGATGGGCGCCACCACACCTGGCTGATTTTGCATTTTTAGTAGAGATGGGGCTTCACCATGTTGGCCAGGCTGGTCTTGAACTCCTGACCTTAGGCAATCCATTCGCCTTGGCCTCCCAAAGTGCTGGGATTACAGGCATGAGCTACCATGCCCGGCCCAGAAGTCAGTCTTGTTTTCCAAGATCCTGAGCTTCTTGAGGGTACAGAACCACCTTTTTTGCTTCTCTGGAGTCTCCAAAATATCTCCCCTACACAGCATTCAATAATCCCTGGAACGCATTCTCTGTCTCCAGCTTTCTCCCTGGCCCTACCCCTCTCAACCTAATCCACTCCAGGGTCACCTCTCCATGTCAGGGTCACCTTTTCCAGACGGGTCTCCAATTCTGACACGTCGGCTTCCACCAGTTCAATAGAGGCTCTGGGAAAGAGGGGGTCATGGGAACAGAGCTTGGGTCGGTCTGGTCTGTCTGCCTCATCAGGCGGGATGGAGCCGCAGGGCGGTGGGTACGGAGGAGAAAGCTGCAGAGTTGAGAGGCTCGCACCCCACCCGCCCACTTGTGCTCTGCCCGCTCTGCAGTCTGGAAGCTACCACAGCCCAGGCCAGAGCAGGAAGGGTAGAAGGAGGGTGGATGTGGCCAGGGCAGGAAGTTGCTAACCGCCCCAGAGCAGGTGCTGGGGGAAGGGCAGGGGTCCCACTGAGAGGCCAGAGGGAATGCCAGCTCTAGGGCTGAGGGGAACTGCAGAAGCCAGGAGGAGCATGCAGGGCCAGAGAGCATTGGAGTACCCTGCTTTGATAGCTGGGGTACCACTTTGGCCCACAGGCTCGCTCCTGCCTCTTGGAGGCCTGCTCCCTGGAAGGAGATCTGGCCTGGGGAAAGGTGTGTATGTGCTGGGGGTGTTAGACTTTTCCCTCCTTAGCCCCTAGACCAGTTCACACTTACCGGAAACGGGGTGAGTCCTTGAGACACTCCTCGAAATCTAGCTTGACCGTCATCTCAGCTTGCCTGCTGTGGGGCCAGCGGGCCCTGGAGGCTGGACGCCTGGGGATGCCGGTGGAGGCACTTTCTGTCCCAGGAGGTGGAGATGATGGGGAAGGAGAAGAGGGACCTCCGCGGGGAAGGGCCTGGGGGGCACAATTCTTTCCCCAAGGGGAAAGGGGTGTCCTAGGAGGAGCTCTCGCCCCACACTTCCAGGCAGTGCTGGGAGGGGCAGGGGTGGGGCCTGGGCGGAGGATGGGGGCCTGAGATCAGAGAAGCCACAGCCCCGCCCTCAGAGGCGATCTGCCAGCTCCTTCCTCTTGGGGCCCTAGCCTCTGTTTCTTTCTCTCTTCTTGGTTGAGTCTTGGGGGCCTGGCAGATCTAGGTTCAAATCCTGGCTCTGTCACTTAGAGGTTGTGTGCCCCTGGATGAGCTCTCCGATTCCTCAGTTTTCTCATCTGGAAGATGGGAATGATAGCCCCTTCCTCCAGGGCTGTATGAAGTGAGGAAGGTGATAGTAAATTCATGCTTCACTAGATTGACTAACTAATTAATTAATTAATTACTGAGACGGAGTCTCCCTCCGTCACCCAGGCTGGAGTGCAGTGGTGCGATCTCGGCTCACTGCAACCTCCACCTCCTGGGTTCAAGCAATTCTCCTGTCTCAGCCTCCCGAGGAGCTGGGACTACAGGTGCCTGCCACGGCGCCCCGCTAATTTTTCATATTTTTAGTAGAGACGGGGTTTCACCTCGTTGGTCAGACTGGTCTTGAACTCCTGACCTCAGGTGATCCACACACCTCAGCCTCCCAAAGTGCTGGGATTACAGGCGCGAGCCACTGTGCCCAGCTGGTTCACTAAATTAATTGCATCACTCATTGTCATCCTGCAGCAGCTTGGGCCTTCTCGTGATGCTAGGCTCCTGTGGAGTCCAGTGCCCCGGACTGCTCCCAGCTTTCTTCGCTCTGCCCTCATATTCATAGTTCCTGTGTGTGAACTCCCCTTCCTCCTCCCCTCTCCTCAACGACTGAGCAGGCCCAGCCTGAGCACCCGATTCACAGCTCCCAGACCCTTGCTCTTCTGCTCTTGATCGTCCACTCATAGGGTGGCCAGGAGGGGAAGGTTGCCCCCACGCTGCCCCCAACCAGCCCGTTTCCATTGTTTGCTTTCCTTTTCTTGAGTCCATCAAAGTCCCAGGGTTTCATCTGGAGAGAAGAGTTTGAGTTCATGGCTTTCTTGTAGCAGGCATGGGATCTTGTTCATGTGACCCTGAATCCCCTAGAACCTCCCCACTCAGCTCCTCTACCTCCCTGGCCAGTGCGAGCATCCCCTTGCCTCTGCCCAGGCTTAGTCTGTCAGGCTGTGCTTGTTCTGGCTTGAGGGGTTGGGGTTGCTCCACTCTCCCTTTCTGAACTCCCTGGGCTTTGCCAGCTCAGCCCCCTAGCCACCAGCTGGATACCATTTGAGACTCACTGTCTTTGAAGGACAGAGAAATACCTGGAGTGGGGTGGCGTGGCAGAGAGGAGTTAAGGAGGAGGCATGGAGCCAGTGGGTGGTGCCAAGCTGGAGGGGGTCTCAACCCCTTCTGAATCTCCCTGGTTCCTCTCCTGTCCAATGTGGACCTTGGACTCGAGGCTGTCCAGGGCCTCTCCTTCCACCTGTTGCCGATGCACTGGCCTGAAATAATTGGAGGGCTGGGAGATGGGAGCTGGCCAAGAGACAGTCCCACAGAGATAGCGGCCTGGTGCCCTCAACAGGCTGCAGTGGTGTCACTGTCACCATCAGGGAGCTCTCTGTGGCCTTGTGATCCCTAAAGGGGACTCCCATGTGGTCCAGTAGGTGGACCTCAGTGCTTACAGCGTTCTCAATCACCTAGGTCAAGCTTGTGGAGCCTAGAATCAGGGATCAGGGCTGGGGTACCCATCAGGCTGTGGGTTCCCAGCCCTCCTGCCCCCTAGGCTGGCCTGCCCAGGCTGTCACCATCCTGATGCTCATCTTCTATGTCCTCCACAAGCTCTGGGTGGGAGCAGGACCTCAGGTATAGTCCTTTGCCATAATACTCCTTGTGCTGCAGAGCAATCTCCTGCCCCAATATGATGGTAGCCACAGCTGGTGGGGGGAGGCACTGATTTCTGTAGGTGGAGGAATCTGAGGAATCAACCAAATGAATCCAAGTCTTCCGGCCATCTGGTATATCCATGCCTCCCAGGTGTCTGTCATGGGCCCTCACCAGAGGGGGAGAAGCTCAGGCCCCAGATCCTCATCTCACTGACTTCTCTTACCCTTCCCATTTGAGAAAAACTTCAGTGACCGCTCCACCTCCCCCCATGGTTGTCTCGGACTTTTGTTTATTTTTTATTTATTTTTTGAGACAAGATCTTGCTATGTTACTCAGGCTGGAGGGTGGTAGTGCCATCATCACTCACGGCAGCCTCAAACTCCAGGCTCAGACTCTATTCTCCCACCTTAGCCTCCCCGGTAGTCTGGGCTACAGGTGCACGCCACCATGCCTGGCTAGTGAAAAACCATTTTTTTTTTTTGGAGAGACGAGGTCTCCCTATGTTGCCCAGGCTGGTTTTTGAATTCCTGGCCTCAAGCAATCCTCCCAAAGTGCTGGGATTATGGAAGTGAACCACCCGGCCTGGCCAACAAACCAGCCCCCAGTCAGACTTTCTGTTCCTCAACACCCAGTAATCTCTGGGGGCTATCCTGAATGGGGTCCTTTCTCCAGCTGCCCTCTTTCTTCCCTGGTCACTTCCCAGCATTACCTCCCTGTCAGGCAGCAGAGTCTTGGGCTGATGGCCACTGAGGAAGACAGACTGTGGTAGAAAAGTGAGGAACGGGCTCTGGAATACAACTCCCTCTAGTCCCTGGAGCCCTCCCGTCGCTAACCCTGGGCTTCAAGGATGTGCTTCTGGGGGACCAGGCCTGGCTCCTCTTTGGCTCCTCTGGCTGGATCTCCTGCCCAGCCTCTCTGCACAGGCCTGGGCTCTGGGTCCAGCATCACACCTTGACTGCCACCGCTGATACTGATACCACCATTGCTGTCCTCTTCATCCTCCAAGGGCCAGTTTTTCTCAGCCTTGAGAAACTTCCCTTTGTCATAGTGTGCCTTGCGGCGCTTGTCAAAGTCATTGGACTCTGTGACTGTGGTGAGAGCCTGGCTTTCCCACCGCACTCTTCCCAAAGACTCGCTCCACCTCCCCCTTTCCATTCAATCCCCAACCCTTCATCTCATGTTGTGGGAGAAGGATTACCTAGGTGCTGAGGCAAGAGGCTGAAGGCACAAAGTGTTTCAGTATAATAAAGAAAATAGTTAGAATAAGAATAGTCATAACACAAATTAGATATAGAGATGATCATGGACAATTATCAGTCATTATTATAAACATTATTAATCATTAGCTTTTAATATTACTCTTTGTTGCATTACTAATATAACCTAGGAATAACCGGCGGGTGTAGGGTCAGGTGCTAAAGGGACATTGTGAGAAGTGACCTAGAAGGCAAGAGGTGAGCCTTCTGTCACGCCCGCATAAGGGCCACTTGAGGGCTCCTTGGTCAAGCGGTAACGCCAGTGCCTGGGAAGACACCCATTACTTAGCAGACTGCGAAAGGGAGTGTCCTTTCCTTGGAGGAGTCAGGGAACACTCTGCTCCACCAGCTTCTTGTGGAAGGCTGGATATTATCCAGGCCTGCCCGCAGTCATCCGGAGGCCTAAACCCCTCCCTGTGGTGCTGTGCTTCAATGGTCATGCTCCTTGTCCGCTTTCATGTTCCTCCCGTACTCCTGGTTCCTCTTTGAAGTTTGTAGTAGATAGTGGTAGAAGAAATAGTGGAAGTCTTAAAGTCTTTGATCTTATAAGTGCATAGAAGAAAACACTGACGTATGTTGCCTTCTCTGTCTCTACTTCGGCTACCTAAAAGGAAGGGCCCCCCGTCCTGTGATCACGTGACTTGCTTCACCTTGTCAATCACTTAGAAGATTCACCCTCCTTACCCTGCCTGTAATAAATATCAGCGCGCCCAGCCATTCGGGGCCACTGCTGGTCTCTGCGTCTTGATGGTAGTGGTCCCCCAGGCCCAGCTGCTTTCTCTTTATCTCTTTGTCTTGTGTCTTAATTTATTACAATCTCTCGTCTCCGTACACAGGGAGAACACTTGCTAAGCTCCGTAGGGCTGGACCCTACATCATGTGTCTTGCAAAAGTTGTCTGCAGGCCCTGAGCTCCTGTCAGCACAGTCCTGGCGGAACCTGGGGCAGATACTGTCCGTCATGGCAATCCTGAAGGGGTAGGAGACTAGTGGGGGCATCGAGAGAAGAAAATAGCAATGGGGACAGGTGGTAAACGAGGCCAAATTGGCGGACCCCCGCCCTCATCCAGGCCTGATGGAAATTGTAGCAACTCCCATTGTGGGTGTCAAAAAGCAGACCAGCTGCAGACCTGAATTCAGGGCTGAAGGGAGGAAAGAGGTCCCACACCCCGGCTGCTCTCTGGCAGGACTCTCACCTCTCTGCCAGCACTCCAGGATTCACTGAGCAGGAGGAACCAGCAGAGAGGTCCTCAAAACTGTCCTGCAGCCTGCAGAGGACGGGGAAGCAGCGCTGGGAGGTGGGGGGTCAGGCAGTATCCAGTCCCTAAAGCTCTCTCTGCCTCCTCCACCTGTCCCCTCCTTTAAACAGAGAATCATCTCTGGACTGAAGGGTTGGGGCTGAGGGCTTAGCACCTGTGGTAAGGACTGTTGGGCTCATCCACTGTCATAAATCCAGAGTCCTTGTCAGCAGGGAGGTAGGTGGCCAGGATATTCATCTAATCCCAATGCTGAGGCTTGCTTCTGGGGCTGGACCTTCTAGTGACCCCCCTCCTTATAGGTCTCCCTCATTTTCCCAGTCATTCAAAACAGTTGTTTGTTTTTTGTTTTTGTTTTTGAGACGGAGTCTCACTCTGTTGACCAGGCTGGAGTGCAGTGGCACGATCACTGCTCACTACAACCTTGGCCTCGTGGGTTCAAGTGATTCTCCTGTCTCAGCCTCCTGAGTAGCTGGGATTACAGGCACACACCACCACGCCTGGCTAATTTTTGTATTTTTAGTAGAAATGGGGTTTCACTGTTTGGTCAGGCTGGTCTCGAACTCCTGAGCTTGTGATCTGCCTGCCTCGGCCTCCCAAAGTGCTGGGATTACAAGCGTGAGCTACCGTGCGTGGCCTTCAAAAGAGTTTTTGTTGTTGTTTGTTTTTTGAGAT